AAAAAAAAAAACACCATATATTGATCTGTGCATATACTTGGAGCATATCATTAAGCGAAGTGTCCCAAGGGACCCAGCGATGCCCTCTTTGAAGATTCCTGAGGATATCACTGACTCATTAACTCCTGCCCAAAATTTTGACTGCAGCAAATTAAGTATGAGAGGTTAGTGACAGCTGGGTCATGAAGCCTCACAGTCACATGTTGAAATAATTCAGAAGAGAAGCCCTCCTCCTGGGCCCCCAACCACAGCCTGCAAGCCCAGATGCAAATGCTGGAGCTCATACATGTGGCAAGACCGCGAAGGGCTGGCGCCGGTACTCACGTGGTCACTGTGTTGAAGCCACAAGCCTGCAGCTTCAGCAGGCGGTCCTTCCAGTACTCCCTGGGCACCCGGAAATAGTGGATGGAGCCCCCGAAGATGAGGAACTTTTGACCTTCCAGGGTGAAGTGTGGCCTACTCCCAGCTTTGCTTTGAGTCTGAAGTCCCAGAGATCGTTTCTTCAGCTTCAGAGGGGTCAGATGGTGGTAATTAAATCTGGGGGAGCAGGGGGAGAGTGGCCGAGTGCAGGGAGAGCAAGAGGAGGAAGAAATTGAGAGCAAGGCTGAAGAAAGCTGACCTCCTCAGAACAAAGATATTCTTGTTGGCAAGATAGGCTCTGCCCATGCCTCTGATTTGGATACAAATTTCTCCAAGAAAGGAGCCTCCCCCCCTCAAGCACACCTGATCTGGGGTGACTTCATTTCTTTATATATATGATTCTCTTTATATTTTGCTCGGGGAGCAAAACTGGATAGGATAAATGGCAGGAAGAATATGCACATGATTCTTTTCCAGGAGAGACTCGGGCTGAAAGGAGAAAGAAAAAAATGACAGTGGCTATGTCGAGCTGTAAGGAAGAGAAAGCTGCTGGGGACAGATTAGAGGCAAGAGAGCAGGAGAGGGCCTGGTGGGCAGGTCCCCAGATTGGCCTCACACACAGGAGAGCTGGCCTTTGCCAGGGTCCACTGAAGACCCAGCACGACCAGGCCACTTGGGTCAGGACAGACTATTGAGGATGGACTTGAAGTCCTAGGTGCTTACACAGGCCCGAGAGGGCTGAGCCTTGGGGGAAGAGGTCCTGGGAACAGATGTTAGAGAGATAACCGACCTGGAGATAGGCATGAGCACCCAATCTGCCAGGTTCAGGGGGGACCCCACTACAAGCCAGCAGGGTGCCTTGTGGGCATTCATATCCATTCCCAAGTCTGAAATGCAGCCCTCCCCCTCCAAGCCCCTCCACCCCCTTACTCTTCCCACTCTCCCTAACCCCCCTTCTCCCCCCCACCCCCAACCAAAGGGGACCTACAGAGCTGTGACTAAATGCCAGCAGCTAAGCTGGAGGAGAGACCTGAAAGGGGAGCTGGTAGAGAGAAACTGCAGATGCCAAAGGAAAGGAATGTCCTCAGGGCCCTTGTCGCAGGAATGTCCCAGGGATGCCTGACTGACCCACAGAACATGGAGGGAGGTCTCCGCGCTCCTATGAATGGCCTTTTAGGAAGGGTCGCACCGTAGGGCCTGGAAAAGGGGTGGAGCTCAGGGAAGCCCGTTGGTCACCTGAAGGGTGGCGACAAGACCATCACCGCGAGGCAAATGCGCTGATTCTCGTGCAGCTCCAGCCGCTTCTCCACAGCCTTAGGTTTGCCCCTGCAGGGCTGACGAGGGCAGGACAGATGGACGTGGGGACAGAGGCCCCCTGCGAGCGGCCACCACAACTGGGTGACTGCGTCCAGAGGCAGGGGAAGATCCGTGAATGCACCGGATGTCTCGGCCCTTGTGTGCGGGAGTCTCTCAGCGGGTGCCAGCAAGTGGGAGAGCCTGGGGTTATCGCTCTGACCTTGAGCTCCTAAACTGTAAACCACAGCCGACTGGGGCATAAAGGCAGTGATGAGTGGGAGGAAGAGGAGACTGAGCATTTAACCAGAACAAGAACATCTGGTTCCACAAATTGAGCAACTTTTCTGAGTGGACCTTGGGTTCCAGTTAGCACTCTCAGGCTGGAGCCCTCTGTGAGTGCCAGGCCCAGGACTGGTTTGGGCATTGTGGGAAGGGTCCTGCGGACAGTTGTTGGAGAGGTAAGAGTCCTAATGACAGGTACAAATACCCAGTCCACCAGGTTCTCGAAGAACCCCACTCCCAGGAGCTTTGTGGGCATCCACACCCTATTTCCTCCCAAGTCTGGAATTCAGGACCCTCAGCAGAGCTGTGACTATGAACCAGCACCAGAGCAGAATAAAGACTTCACAGGGAGCAGTGGGTGTCCAGACCAGGGACACTGGCAGCTACCCTTGAGGTGTGGTATCCCCCAAATGAATCTTGGTAAATGAGTGAGAATTGTCAAACAGTGTCAAACAATGCAAAGTGAGTACCCCACAGTTGCTATCAGTGGAAATAGCTTGAAAGTATCTCCATGGTACATGTGAGAAACAGTTTGGAATTCTTTGGTTATAAAGTAGCAAGAAATAGGGTTGGAGAGATGGAACAGCTGAGCCAGGTCAGGATGGCTGAGGGTGCCATGCAAAGCAGCTTGGGTCCTTTCCAGAGATTTCAAGCAGAAACCAAGTCATATTTTAATTTTATGGTGATTATTTGGCTACGAGGGACAGGGCGTTGATGGGAAACAGTACACCATCCGGTGGCCCTGGTGGTGATGTGAGGTCGAGGGCCAGAGCTGTTTTCATGGTGGTGATGCTAAGCAAGAGATGGATGCTAAGAGGGAATGGATTCCAGAAAATGTTGTGATGTTTAACTGGCAGCTCTTGGCAATTGACTGGATGAGACAGTAAACAGGAGTCTGGGATGATCACCATGCTCCAGTAAACAGGAGTCTGGGCAGATGGGAATGACATCTATTGAGATGAGAAACACAGGATGTTTGACTCTGACCAGCAGGAGAAGAGCAAGGAGCCCACTCTGTTTTATAAGGCAGATTTGAAGTCTGGATGAAGAAGGGAAATCTGACCTTTTTGCGTTAAAGTCTGCTTTTCCTCTTTCATTCGAAAGAACAAAGGTGTGTTATCTTCATTGAAAAGATACTGTCCCACAACATATTGGGGCAATTTATCATACAACAATAGATAACAAAAACAGAGCCTACAGCAAATTGTACCCCTTCTACCTCCAAAGTATGATTTGAACCTGTCCAATTCTACCATTCTTCTGTACACTCTCTGCCCCCTACTCTTCTCTCCTACTTCCATATTTTCCTTCATCACTATTCTACAGAGCAGCAAGATCTACTGTTTTAATACAGAAGTCAGGTCATATAAATCAGGGAGAGATTTCCCACGTTACTGAAAAGAAAATCAGTTTCCCGCCTATCGTGCATAAGAGCCACACCACCTGAGAGGTGTCACCTGGGAAGTCACTGCCACAGCCCCCCTCAAGCTTCCAGTTTCCCTCTTGTCCTAGACCTTTGAACATATTGTTACAGTGTTGGGACGGCTGCCCACACACATGGCTGATTCTTCACCCTTAAGTACACCATTCAATGCACCTGCTCAAGGTGGCTTCTTTGACCATCCTAAATCTCAATAGGTACTTGGCCCTGTCAACTACATGATTGATGGCCCATCCTTTGTTTATTTTCTCGATAGCACCATTAGACAGTTTAATTATTGTATTTATTTTCTTGTCTGCTTACTTCTCATTTCGTTGTTGTTGTTTTTAATCTGTTTCCCATTATGATGGGAATGTAGATAAGCAAGCTCCTCTTTGCATTCAAAAATTAATTTGCTAAAATCATGCAGTGGATCCCATGGGGTGAACATCCAAACAAAGGAGTTTACTGCCTTATGGCAAGTGAAGTGTTCCCTGACGTACGGTGGAGTGACAGAACATAATGAATGGCCTCATTATGACACTCACTCTAGAGCAAGGGGCAGTAACGCTCAGATGAGCCATCTCAGTTTCTTCTAATAAATACATACAGTACAATCTTGGGTAACAAATGTTGCTGCCCAAGAGTGTGTACACTTTCAAATTACTAGGTTTAACCTATTTAAAGATGACACCTCAGAGACAAAAAAAATAATCAGTCTTTAAAATTAAATGCAATCTGGCACAGGAAAACTTCTTGTCCTTCTTGGCATATGAATGAGCCAGAAAATCCATGTGATAGACACAAGATACAGAGAATATCCATAATTAATATGGGCAGCCCCCACCAAGTGGCTCTTACCCTTTATTTTCCCTGCCTTTATGAGGACTGATAAACTTCCAGCCTCTTCTCTTTTATTTTTGAAACAAAGGTGACACGGAGACAGCTTTGTGTTTTCAAGGGCACTCAGTGAAACAATCATCCTTTTCTCTCACATTACATTGTGAATTACAGGCTTGACTTCAACTTACAATATCCATCCCCCTACACACCCCCGTGTATCCCCTGATGCCGCTCCAGTGCCTTCAGCACAGCTGGGACCAGGATCTGGGAGGGGATACCAGCGAGCAGCAGACCAGAGTTGAGACTGGTGAAAGTATGTGAGGGGTGTTGCCTACCACCCAGAGTGACTGCAGAAAAATGAACCACAATCTGCAAAATTGCATTGTCACCTTAGGTGTGCTCGCTGATCTCAAGTCTTCCAGGCACCCCACAAAATAAAAAGGACAGGACTGATGCTTCAACCTCTGCGACACTTGTGGTCAGTGCATCCCTGGTGACTGGGGCAGATCATGTCATCACTATGGGCCTGCATGCCCTCAGACACAGGTTCTTGGCTATTCCTGTGGCTATGCTATAAGCTGAGCCTGGCTACCACAGTGGATTTGCGAGAATGTGATCATAGGAAGCAACTCGCATAGTTTTCCTGAAGTAGATGAGCCCAAAGTGTCACCGGAATGGCAGATGAATCGCATGTTGGATTTTCACTGAAGTCCTGGGAGGATGCAGGTGAAAGGTGAACTGATGGTGGGTGATGTGAGAGACTGCATGGGTGTCCCTTGAGAACACTTGGTGGACACATTGGACACCATTCCCCACTCTCTGGGGGCTTTGTACACAAATGATCCTCTCTGGGCCTTCAAAGTGGAAGCAGAAGTCTTCAAACGGAAGACTGCTCCACTTGGCTTACTGACATCTTGATGATTTCTACAGAGGTGACTGAAAGACACTGAGTGACTCCTTGTTGTTGCTGTTCAGCTACTGTAAATCTAGGATGTGACATGTCCAGCAAGCTTACTTTGGTTTCCAACTTGCGTTCATGTATCTACTTTTTTGCTTTAGCACTTTAGGATGATAAATGACAAAAGCATAGATCTTTAGAAGGGGAAACAATGCTCATTGATTTCCCATTTGTGGGGCAGGAGGGGGAGTAGTTAATTTATCTATAAGGAAAAATTCTTCAGTAAGAAATGTTATTGCTGTACTGACTTGTTCTAGTAGGTAACTTTTTCCTTTGTTCCCATGGTATTGAGATCTTCACTTCCAAGTTATAATTCCATTGTAGAAGTTCATAGTCTATGTATTTGAAGCTACCAAAGGAGAGTGCTGGATAAAGCCACACTGTAGATAGAAACTGATAACTCCCCTGGACACTCAAGACAAACCCTGCAGAAAATTAGCTCTTTATTTCTGTATAAACCTTATAACATGTATAATACTGTAAATTTTCTTTTGGTAACTGGGCTTTAATAAACCATCTTGGCTGCTGAACTTAATTTGAACAAGGTTTATTTAATGTAAGATAGCCACTGACACACTTCTTAGGGGAAGATGCAAGATATATCAGAGACAACATGGCTGAACATTATTTTCTTATTACCACTTCGAAAAACACACTGTAATTAA